AGTATTTATTTAGTGGTTCATATAATTCTGCTTTTATTTCTAATTATGTCAGTTTTGGTCCTCCGTACTGCAGAAGCCTGTTAATCATCCATTCCTTCATATCAGRTGTGTTGGAGCAGAGAAACAAGTAAAACATGCAGGGCTGCGGCCCTCCAGGACCAGGATTGCCCACGCCTGTTCTAAATAATCTTTTTATTGAAAGAAATGTGTTTTCAACTTCTTATTCTTCCAAGACGTAGGAAATCATTCACAGCATAAATGGCAAATCTGTCAGGCCTGTTTATAGAACAGCCCAGCAGCTTCAATACACGTCTGAACTTGGGTCTGCGAATAACATCACATCCAACCTAACTGTTCTTATTGCAACTTCAAAGCAGAGTGGAATTTAATTATCATGACGCTCAGTCACGCTAACTATTCCACTTGGGCCGTTCCACTGAACTTGAGTTCAACCAGGGAGTTTGAGGGTTCTGTGCAGTAACTTAGGGGTTCCTAGGGCTGCACTSGTCAGCACAGAGATCTCTGAGGTTGTTCCTGGGATCTGTTAAATCCGCTCTTCCAGTTTGGAAGAGTTTTCCATATGAGCTTTTAAAAAGGTTCCAACAACGACCTGATGTGCAACAGAGTCCATTCTCTGCACAGACGTTCCTGTATGTTATTCCAGGCATTAGGTTAAGGTGCTCCAGTATGATACACCTGCCTGGGTCTTACACCCTCCTATTATGTGTTGGACTGTGCCACCTTTGCACAAATGGCATCTTGAGTCTTGTCTATTAAAGTAGACCCCGGCATCTATTGCTCTTGTGTTGAGGGTCTTTTATGTGCTGCCATGATTAATGCCTCTGCAGCCCTTCAGTCTAGCCTTCTCTATCTACTGGTAAAATTAGATTCCACTCTTCAGTTCATCATCAGAGGCTTTCCTCCTGATGTACTCCAAATAAGGCAAGGCAAACCTGTCTTGTTTGTCTATTTTCCTCCCACATGCTGATAAGCTTCGTCTGCAGAGACCTCCCTGCATTGTTTATTACGGTGGGCGATTGGTGTCAATGGTGTGTTCTGAATTTAAGGGACATTTCCGGCTTGATCTACTTTGGTGGTAAGACAYTTAGCATTCCAAGTTTCACACATAGCATATGTATGTGGATTCCACCATGTGAGGACTTAGATCAAAGGAGCAAACCCTGCGAGAACGACACTGATCAACTTCAGATCGATGTGAGACTGAAGAGATTTAAATCATTTTGTTTGTGAATGAATTCACTTACATAGTTGGTGGCCCACAGAGCTTTAAGCTTCAGGTAGCGCTGGAGTCGGTTCCCCAGGGTCAGCTCAAATGTGTTGGCTAGACCGGTCATCCGTTTGTACTCTGTATCTGTCAGCAGGGGGCGCACTGACTCCAAATACTGAGAGAGGGAGAGGAAAAAAGRCAACAGGAAAACACAAGTTTTTTCTGTCTCAGAGTTGTGGATTTTGAGCCAGTATATATGATTTACTCATAACGGTGAAGATGAATTACCCTGCTGACTGTGTCTTTGATGGCAGGAACAGGAAGGTGAGGAAGAGAGGTCTGATAGCTGTACAGTAAAGGCTTACTCCTTGAAAATAACCCCAAAAGAGTCTAAGAAAGAAAAAAAAAGAAAGGCAAGAATATCAGCTTTGTTCTTTTGTTGTAAATGGTTACGAACAACATACAAATTAAATCATGAGGGTAAAATTTTGTTCTTTTTTTAAAACAAAGTGACAACCACTGATCAACACAAATGAACAGGGGCAACACTTTTACAGCTGACAATCCAAATCTCTGCCTCCACACAGCAGCCATATGTGGAAGCTGTGACACARCTTACCCCCCAGACTTTTGTGGTGTTGGAAACTCTGCCGTGCGCTTCAAAGACCCAACGGTGGTAGGAGAGCAGCAGCTTCAGGCAGAACCTGAGGGCGAGGATGAGCGAGAGCCACAGCAGAGTGCTGAAGACTAGAGCCGACACCATGGTTTGACCCTGAGCACTGAGGGAAACATGGAGACTAAACAGAAAGACAGAAAAGAGGTTTGATCACATAATGAATTAAAACTATTATTCAAAAAAACAAAGTACATGTTAAAATGGTATGTAATTTTCACTGAAGAGAGAATACAGATCGCTTCGAGTCAAAGTTTATGGTAAGAAGACAAAAGGTGTGAAAATACAACAGCGCCATCTGTTGGTTCAATGACACAAAAACTTTAAAAGACAAAATGTATGTAAAAAATGAAAGTGTGGTCTGCACTCATAATGAAAAAGTAGAAGGCTGCAATCGACCCATTGACGTTTYCCCATTTTCCTGCCTTAGAATTTGGTATTTTACTTTTATTTTTATAATTGATGCAACAAAAAAAAAACATACTCCATAGTAATTAATCGAGAAAAAACCCAACTTGTTTAAATAACTCTAGAAAATATCAAAACTGTATTGAACCTGAAGTCCCAGAAGTCAGTAATTACAGAGATTGAGCAGAACCTGGGCACCTGTGATGACATGGCTATTAATATGTAATTAACCCTCCCCTGCAGCTAATTTTCAAAAACTCAGTCGTGCATTTAAGTGTTCATATTATTGTCAATTGTTTTAATTATTGATAGAACATTGCAAAAGKTGACAAGATTTTTGTACAAATACTATAAATATCGTACGTCTCGTCTGATTCCCACACTTGGCCGTGCTCCTCAGCGTCTCTTGGCACCGCCCACTTTGTAGTTAATTAACAAAATGTTGAACCACAAAAGATGATTGCTAAAGTTAATTCAGTTTGTCTTGTGACTGAAACGAGACAGACGTCCACGCGTCACACTCCGCTTCAAGTTCTGCTCCACGTAACCGAGGTGGAGGATTTTTCACACCCCTCTTCCCAGCAGGTCTGAGCCTCATCAGATCAAGCCACTGGCTGAAGGCGCTGACTCAGCAACACCTGATCACATGAGCTGTGACGTAAGCATGTACCAAGCTGTATCATTTTTACAAAAATAAATAAATAAATCAACTGTAGTAGCCCCCCATAGAGGGCAAAACTAGGACAGTTTTAGATCAAATATTGCATAATTAAATACATTTACACAAAAATCTCACAAATTGAAACCAGGTGAGATGGTCAGGACTGAGTTCTGAGCTTCTTAAAAAATTATGAACTTCATTAAAGACCTATAGACAAGGAAAGACTGTATAAGGATTTGTTTTGATGTTTGGTTATGACAATCTGAACAGCTGTCTGTCTCATGCCCCAAATTATGAGCCCTTTGAAACTGATGAMATGAGACAAGTGGAGACCAAACTGAAGAATCAGAGGGTGAGATGAGAAGCATTGGAATCATATTTTGCATGTTTCCCTCTATAAAAATATAGATTCTGTCATTGTTGTTCATACCAACTTTATAAATATTTGTTTTCTGCAGAACTTGCTCTCTGACATYGCAAGGAAGGAATCAGATTTAACACTGGGTCTCATGCAAGAACATGTTCGTATTCTTATCCTAAATTTCTCTTACTTTTGTTCATATGAAGGGTTTGTACGAACATGTCACGTCAGATTCAACAAACTCTTCTGTCTTCAGGAAAAGTGCGTAAATGAGCTGCGTAAATTCCACCTGTTCGTATCCAGCTGCTCTTGCACGCGAGAAGATATTTGCATAATTACCACCCCAAAAACACCATGTTTCCTGCCTCAGATACGAGGAAGTGTCCATTCAGGAAAATGACAGCGAAAACTAAAAAGAAGAACTTTACGAGTTCAGAGATTGAAGTCCGTCTGTCAGAGATCCAGAAAAGAAAATCTGTCATTTTTAGCAGGTCAGCTGTGGAATAAAAGGAGCTGCTAAATGTATAAACAACTGTGTTAAATCATTTTCATTCATTCAGAAGCCGCAACGCTGCGCACCGTCCGTCCCCCCCGCGCTGCGCGCTGCGGTGGTCTCAGATGCGGGTTTGAAAAAAGCATTTTAAAATGTTTTCAAAATA